CCAAGAGATTAATTGTGAGTACTGTTGGGCTGCATCTGTGCAAGATCTATCTCTCGACTTGTCCTCATCACCAACGTTATCACCTTCGTCTTCTACAAAACGTACGTCAATCACTTGGTCACAGCCACAGGTTTTTCGACACGACTACACATCACATGTGCACACATCATATCGTATGAGAATTGAATTGTCTATGGTGTTCTCACTTGTTGCACTCCCGCTACATTCTCTGCTATGCCATTTGCCATCCAAAAGGTGCGCTAATTCTCTCTTTTACAACATTTTCTCCGGCGTATTTTTCTAATTTATTATCGACCGGCCGTTTGTCCGTCCACAATAAACGTACGCCAAAAGTGAAACATGATACATGTTCACGGACAGAGAGTAAAACGTTTTGACACGCACACTATTACTTGAATTTATTCCCTACAGTGTACGTATGTGCATGAACCAAAGTTGCAGCTGGTACTGTGATGAAGTTATGGCATCGATCGAACAAGCGCACGGGCCCGCCGTGGTGAGGCAGAAAGGGACTTCAATCTACACCGCATGGGCATCCATCCATCGGATCATCTGGATGCCTGGACGTACATATATCTATCTATGTATTTAAAAATATGCAAGTTTAGCGCGCACACACAGCTACACAGAATGCATATATACATATACATAAGCCAAGAAAAAAATTATCTAAAAAAGGAGGATTACCCTGGCCTCTCTGCGTCATTACCAACCTATAGGCCAAGAAAATGGCAACAGTCACACCATTCTGGATCAAGATCTTGATTTCCAAGTGATTTTTTCGACGGTCGGAAATATAGGAAAGAACTTCTGTAAAATCTAGTGTGCAAGGGTTTGCTTGCTGGTGACTGAGCAATTTGGTAAGTGCACACTAACGATGTGGATTCATGTTGGTAGATAGGCATGATGGAGGGGGATAGGGGTATCTGCCACCCACTCATTGTTGCAATCATACCACACACGCCATTTCTCATCCTCCAACCCCCATCTCTCTCTCTCTCTCTCCCCTCTCCTACTCTCTCTCTCTCTCTCTCTCTCTCTCTCTCTCTCTCCTCTCCTCTCCTAGCCATAGCATCAATAAAACCTGGAAAGAGGAAAGCTAGACAGCTCAATTTCTCCTTCCTCTCTGCCCATACATATCTCTCTCTCCATCGATCTAACCTACACACACAGAGAAAGAGAGAGAAGCAGCAGTAGCACATGTAACCTAGCTAGCCTGCAGTTCTCCGCGCTAACGCTTCTTCTTCTTGGCTGCCGCCTGGTGAACCTCGCCGTAGTCTGAACGGCTAGGGGGGCAGCGAGGCGGCGGCTCCAGGGGATAATCAGGAGGAATGTCGTCGTCGGGCCAGATCACGCCGGCAGAAGAAGTCTGCTACGTCCACTGCAACTTCTGCAACACCGTACTCGCGGTAAGATCCATATGTGTACATGTTGCCTGCATAATCTCTCTCTCTCTC